TTCCTGTTCTAGCAGACAGTGAAAAAGACATGAAGAAAGAATTGCAGACAATACATGACCAGCTGCAGCACCTGAGCAATGCTATCAGACAGGTGGGAGAACAAACGATCTGGCTGGGAGGTTACTGACACCACCTCACTCTCACCCAATGACAGTGCTGACAGAATACAGTCCTTCCGATCCAGTAACTTTGTTCTTTTGTTAAATTAGCAAAACCAGACTAAAATAACTTCTGAGCCTTGTTAGTAATATAGGCAGAACTTCTGCAACCCAGCATAAACCCTAAGAAAGAAAGTCTGCGCACCTTCCTCAGCCCTAGCAGTAACGTTTTCTGTGCTGGAGGAGGAGTGCAAAAGAAAGCAGATTTTAACCCAAAGAGAATCCATTCATTGCAGTATGACACACCAGGTTGTGACTGTAAGAAGCTTCCACTTTGGCAGGCAGTACCGACGCTGACTGGGGTCTTTTTGTGCGTGACTTCTAGGTTAAAATGAAAAAGGAATACCAGCAGAAAAAGATGGAAAAGGGTACCAGCCCCCGAAAACCCAGCATCACCCTCAGTGCCTACCAGAGCAAGTGCATCCAAACCGTCCTGAAAGAAGAGTAAGTTAAAGCTTGGATCCTCCTGTGGAATTCAAGCCCTGGCACTTACATAGGCAATTCGTTCGCCTTGCTGGGGTGTCATTTAGCCTTGTGCTGCCTGAGGGGCTGGCTGAGATGGTCTGAAGGGTAAAATGCGCCAGCTCCTGACAGCAGCACTGCCCATCTTAGGCTATGATTAAAGCATTTAGTTTAAGTCTGCTTTTTGCTCAAGGATCTCTTGGCAGTCTGTTTCCAGCCTATAATTAACAAAATGACTTGCAACAGTGCTCCCATTTTCTGCTTCTACCATGTGAAGTAGATGATTAGTTCTTGATTAGTTTTGAGCAGAAGTGACTTGCAGCCTTTTGACTTGGATTTATTTTTCTTGAAGGGGAGAACACATAAGGGAAATGGTAAAACAGATCAATGACATCAGAAACCACGTGAACTTCTAACGCGTCCACCATGAGCAACCTACACCGAAAGGCTGGATGAGCTTTAATTTCCCCTGGTATTTCCCCTTGTATATTTAACATTTGTAAGTTGAACAATATGCCTTTTACTTATTATTTTGTAAAGATGGACTGTGAAATAAAATACTTTTGCTAAGACTCCTTACGGGCTGGTTTTTTTGCTTTTCTCCTGGGAAGGAGACTGCAGCAGGTATTCTATGTCAAGTACATTGTAGTGTAGTACTCACAGCTAGCTCGGTAGTGTGGGAGCTGCTGCTTCCTTCAGAAAGCGCCCTGGGATTTTTCGGGGAGACTTCTCCTACCTTTGGTCCATGGGTACTGCGGGGCGGGCCTGTGGCAGAAGGCAGAGTAGAAAGACCAGAGAAGCGCACACACTTCAGCAGCTTTTTTGTTTTGTTTTGTTTTAATTTGGAACACTTTCTTCATCAAGGACACACCTTCAATACAGTTAACAAATGGTTACACTTAATCCTGTAGACAGCAGAATTCTACACCCACAATTGCACAGGACACCAATGGCTTGGTTCACTGGAATGCAGTATTAACTTCCAAACACTCAGTTTGCCTTCATCAAAAGATGGCTCTGGAGTCCGTCTTGACATACAAAGGCCAATTATTTATCTGCTGTAGACAAACTCTAGCGGACAATAAATAATTGTTGTCCCCTCCCCCCACCCCTTAGAAAAGGTGATGTGGTCAAGCTCAGTTTTGAAAAGTAGTACTGCACTGCTACAAAAGGGGCACGGCAAGAGGTGCCAAAGTAAAGCTGTAAGGAAAGGAGGGCTCTTAGTACCTGTTAGGTAACAAGGTTACCAGACATGCTGCAAGAACACTTTTTTTTTTTTGTACAGATTAAGACTATACAAGTATAGGAATGCATACAAAACTCCATCTCGTCCCTTTTACAGTCAACAGGAACAGAATCCAGTTCTCTAAGCCACTGACCCTGCGTACCGTAGCTGACCTGCCAGGTTAGGAGTAGTGCCTGTTCCCAATCTCTTACTAAGCAAGGAGAACCTACCACCCTACTGAAATCACGCTCCAGAACACCAAGAACTGGAGGGAAGAGCATTTGTCTTCTGATGTTTTATGAGCTATAACAGCATCATCCATCCAGTGAGTATCTACACCAAGAGCTTTTACTGCAGTTAATTTGCAATCTTTTAAATTTGCTGCGCAAATTTGGCACACACAGTTTTGTTTTGTTTTTTTTTTAAAGGCCTCTTTTTAATTTTCTGGAGTTCAGCAGAAGCTTGAGTTACTGCTTCTGAGGCTGTGTTTCCTTCCCTGGGAGGGACAGCCCCTCCGGGTTAGGAGGACAGCTCTCTGTAGTGAGCACATCATCTCCCACCACTTCTGTGAACAGTCAAGTTTCCAATTTAAAAAGAAGAAATTGTTAAAAAGGTATGATCGTTATCAGTTGGTGAAAAAGGTCACTCATGTTCCAACTCTAAAATGGTCACAGCTAGTACTTAAACAGGAGTAAGGGCGTTCGGGTGCATGATGGAACAAGGTGGTAAAAAGGCAACCAACCACACCATAATTGTACACCCTTCCTCTCCAAACCAAAAGAAAGTTCCTTCACTGACTCGCCCAGTGCCTGGTTTAAAAGCAAGGAAGCCCAGAGCCAGCACCACCCCTTTCAGGTGAGTTCTCATCTCAGGCCCCTTCATGCCCTACCACGTCCGCCTCCAGCCTCTTCGGCCTGGTGTCATCGCTGTCTGCTGAGAAAAATACACAAGCATGCACACGAACAGACACACACGCATGCAGAACTCCATTCGGCAACTGTCGCATTTGTCACTGTGTCTACGAACAATCACAAACTGATTGCCCACTCACCTGTCTGCCCTCACGGACTGCAGAGACACCCTGCAGCTATCATCTGCAATCTGACAACACCACACCTATAGAAAGCCATGGCAACAACTGGTAAAAATACACTAAGGAAAAGCCACACTAGCCCTGTATTATTTGAAACAATCAAAAAATGGTCAGCTACAGCCACGGTTGTTTAGAGCAGACAGGGAGGCAGGGCTGCTGACAACGGGCACTGACCCACGGTCCAGAAAGGGATGCTGCAAGGCCATTAACAGCTGCTTTTCTTGCTCTGTTGCACTAGGAGGACAGTCCAGAAACTCAACCAAAAATGTTTTATCTGCATAAGCCTTCAGGTGCTCTTCCTCAAATGTTCAGCTTGCTAAAGAGACATACAGGATTTGTTGTAGTTTTGCCGTACAACGATAGGCTTCCTTAAACACTGCTGCCCAGGTTAAGTATCAGTAACCAGTTACAAGTTAGTTTTGGGGAAGGAAGGGAACATAAGAAAAACCTTTTCATTCTGCAGCTCCTATTTTTTTTTTTCTCCAAAGTTTACTCAACAGAATAGGACCCTAACCATTGGAAAACTGAATGCAAAACATCTGGCATTGGATTTACCCATCGGGAGGCAGCTGCTGTCACCTCACAGTTCAGCAAACAGTGAGAAAGGTTAAAAAAACCCAGCCCTGGTAATAGCCAATTAATAAAGAACCTAAGCCCCATTTCAATTTCACTTTTAAGTGAAATTAAGTGTCATCTTAAGAAGATGACAACTCTGCTGTCTATTAGTCCAGTCATTACTAAGGTAGGAAAAACGGCTTTTGGGTGCCAGGATTATGAAAGGAATTAATTGCTAGGGTGAATAAAATGCTTTAATTCTTGCAATGAGTGACAAGGAATTGAGCTTGTATGCTGCTTTTTGGCTGTTTTTAAGGCATTCCTCTTCAAAACCACCGGTTCTAACTTTATGTTACTAGCAGGATATACACTGCTAAAAATAGGATTTAAGCACTTAAAATAGTCACGTGCGTTACAGTTTGGAACGTTTTCTGTCACTTCTGGTTTTCTTCATCACCTTCCAATCTATGGCCTAGTACGTAAAGAAAAAACAATAAGCAATGGAGGAAAGTCTAAGGGATAAATTTTGGAAGGTAGTGATCTGCTCCTTCAGCCTCCTTTCTTTTAAATGAGTTGTAAGTAGGGGCCAGCTGAGGAACTCAGTTTGCACCACCAGTATTATCAACACCTGCAACCGTACATGAAACCATAGCTATCCAATTGTGTGCATGGAACTCCAACAAAAGGAGAAAAAGGAGAAGGAATGGTCATGTTACCGTCACACATTTATAGAACAAGAAATGCAAACCTAGCACCTGATTGATCACAAGAATTTCTTGCCTCTGCTGCCATTTTACATACTGTAATTTAAACATACGATTTTAGAAATACGGGACAGTGTATACCATGATACCATAGTTTAAAGTAAGAGATGCACTGTACCTTTCCAACTTGAACGAGCAGCATAATGCAGCTCCTTCGCATTTGTGCTCTGTGACTGAGAGTGCAATCACTGTTTTGCATACTATTAAGTTGACCCAGAAGACGTGGGTCAAGCCGACTGCTTCATTCAGCACCTTACCTTGAGACTTCCCAGTGAAAGCTAGCAACTTTACATCTGGGGTCACCCACCAGAGCAAAGCAGGCCTGCGTAAACCCCATGCCAATGCTCAGACAATGCAGAGGATTTTTTAATAGCTTTTTTTTTTTTTTTTAGCCACAGAGAAGGGATTACAGGTACTGCTCAGCTTTAGAGATGAGAAAGAAGCAGTTGTAGTTCCATATTCTAAATTACATTTGTGAAAAGAGATTACAAAACAGTGCATTTCTTGTGCTTTTCTTTAAGTATTAGAATTCAACAGAAAAATTCAAGGAGCTAAATTCTCAGTATATTTTTCATTTTTTTGGATTAGCATTTATCTGTTCAGGTGACACACAGCTCACTCATGTCCATGACATTTCAGCAGCATTCAGATTCTTCAACACAAAGTCAATGGTTAAAAAAAAAAAAAAGAAAAAAAGAAAAAAAAAGACCACTGAGTTATGAAATAAGATCAATATCCAGTGTCCTGCTAATAAAGTCATATTTTAATATAAAATATTCATACAGCATACTCTACACCTCATTCTCTCTGCTAGCTGAATACTGTTACTGACTATTCAAACAGAAAAACTTCAACCACTTTGCTCTTCAATGTTTTGGAGGGACAATATGGTTTCCAGCAGCTACTTTGATCACAGTAGTGGGGGGAAAGGAAAGAGGGAAAGACAGAGGGTAAATGTTCCAAAACTCTATATTAGGTTAGGAAGTCGGCTGAAAGAGGGGAAGTTTTTCAGAATGTAAGGACCGATCCCACTCAGTGGAACACGAAACACCGCACTCATTAGTGTTTCCATTAGAAAGTTCTCCTTCCTACACTGCAAGTCACCCTTGTGCTTTCTTCCTGCCCAGTACAAAACCTTTTTCCCTCTAGAAACAAAACTTAAGTCATTGCTCCCCTCTGTTGTCTTCTGCTCTTTCGGTTAGAGTTAAATAATAATTAATGTTGCTATAAAGATGAGTTAAAAACCCCAAACTCAGCCTTGGAGCCCGCTCATCAGGGTGTCATGTTTCAGGAAGCTGATTAATGTCCGTCAGTTTTGTGTCATTCAGGATTGCACGGATTCTCTCCAGGGAATCTGCCTGCCGGATCCGCTCCAGCTGCACCTACAGAAAACCAACAGACACAACTGAGCCAGTAAAACGTGCCGATGCAAGACCATAGACCATGCATAACCATAACTGAGCCAACAGGCCACGTTAGCAACCCCTAGTTCCTGCGCAAGCAGAAGGGAGATCAAATTATCATTGGCTGAAAAGTGCAAGGCGTGAAGGAGCACAAGCTTAATTTAGAACCGAGAATGGGAGGAACGCAGACATAAAGCAGTTAGGTTTTTACAATAAAAAGCCACTTCCTGGGGGGCTCAAGCAAGCCTTCATCATCACTCTATGCTTTGCCTAATAAACAGTCACTGACACCATACTGGTGAGGCAAACCGGAGGAGACGTGCAAAGCAATGTAAAAACTTTCACAGAAAGAATGTAAAGGAAGCACAGACCTGCCTAACATACGCCTTCAAGCCTCTCAAGATCAAAGCTAAAACGCTCTTGGAGGAAACATCCCATTTCCAAGCTTTCTCCTGTTACTTGCTTTTTCTGATTATCTGAAGCTATTTCTTACACGCTGAAAAAGTGCCCAGCAGTACTGTGTTGAAATGAATGCAGAGGGATCACACTTTTTTTTTCTTTTGGGTTTTGTTTTGGGTTTTTGTTTGTGGTTTGTTTTGTTTGTTTTTTAAAAAACATTCAAACTTCCACATTCTCTATATTAGGATCTGGGCATTCTGTTGTAAATTCCCAACTAGTGGTTAACTGATTTTTAGCCCTTCCTCTCCATTGCCGATACCTAATTTGGCCAGTGGACACCTCACGCAAGTGATACTCACCCAGGCTCCCCACTGACAAGGTCAGGGAAGGAAATAACCCTGTGTGGCTATCCAGGAACCAAAATCCTTATTCGATGGTAGTATCTTGTGTTACCACGAGATACTAGATCATCTACTATGTACAGTGGAGATGCCACAAACCCTTGTTTAAACTGAAAGCACTAACTGCCGAGAAACTAAATGTGTAATAACTGCTTTGGGGCAGAAAGAAAACACAAAATACAGAGCTACACCACACTTACTGAGTTCATTACTGAAGACCTACTAAACTATCTCCAAGTTTTGGAAGAGTGCACCATGCATCTTCCAAGTGGTGTATATGTTTTTGCTCCAAGAACTGCATGAATCAGTGCATGCAGTACTTTAAAAGAGGGGATGATGACAAGCAAGAAGCAACTTCACTAGCCAGAATGATTCAACAGTCTCCTTTGTCCTACCTACTCCTCCTGAAATAGCCAGAACAAAAGAGGACAGTCCCCTATTGCCCATCCAGCTAATCTCTATCTAGTAAACAATCTCCTATATTCATGTTTCAGTTTTCCAAATAAATCTGAACACTTGACTCAAAAACTCTGTATTTCTAAATTCTGCTGAATTTCACTGAGTAGACTGGCCAAGAACTCAAAGGAAACAGCACTGAAGTTCAGTACCTCCTTTGTGAGCAAGATTTCTAAGTAAACTGAAATGTGAGGGAACGTGAAGGATGCAAATTCTAAAAACACAGACACTGAAGGTGAGACCAATCTAGCCTGGCTTCCTGAGGAGACAGTTAGTCACTCCGCAAACACAAAACCCGCCAGTCCCTTCATGCTCTCTATGGTTAACAAAAAGAGAGATCAGCCTGACAAACTGGCATTAGCCTCCATGAACAACCCTGCCAAAACTCCTTCCTTCAGCCACCTCTTGGTATCTCATTGCCAACTACAGGTTCCACTTTTTGGAGGAAATACAAGGACAGCAACAGTGACAATAGCAAGGATAAGACTTTTAGATAGTATAAATAGAAAGCAGTAAATTTAAACATGCAGAACCATTTCATATATTTGTATCAAACAGTACAAGTTCCTTACTTTGTCCTCAAATACTTGCACCCTAATAATTTGCTATGAAAATTAACATACTGGAAAAACATCAGGAGATGGACAATGAAATACTTAAGGTCTAAAGGTACCATCATTTATGGCTCTCTACAGTTCCTGTTAGTATAATAATTGTCTGGCTTTTCTGCTGAGAATCGGTTGGAATCAAGTAATCTGAATAAAATCCCCAATAGGCTTTAATACTAATATTATACCAGGAATACTTGATCAGTTTATTATACTAATCATTTTAAAAATAGTTCATAAATACCAACATAATAAAATTTACAACTGCTACTTCTTATTTTACACAGCTCTGGAGAAGTAAAGAAACAAAAGCAGCACCTTAAAAACTGATTGCACTTCCCTTACCTGAAGCGTCTGAGAAAGCTTTACAAAATCTCTCTGCACTTGCTCACTGACATCTAATTCAGTCTGCAACCGCTGAGCTTTATTCTTCTCTTCAAATACCAGCTGTTCAAGGTTTGCCTGAAGAGGAAAAGATTCTTTATGCTATGCTTAAACTGAATAAAAAAGGAGAAGCTTGTATAAACTGATTAAAGTATGATACTAGACCAAAGCAGCATGGTTATTCTGAGAGTCCTGGCAAAAAAATAAACCAATCACTCTTTCTACACCTCGGTTTTCCTAACTGCAAAATCAGGGGTTAATACCCATCAGAAAAACATCGTCATTAGATTGGTTAAAGTATGAAAAAGCCCCATGTCTTTTAACAGGACTATGTCCAAGGATCTCAGAATAAAAAAGCAGATTTCTGAGTTTTAACAAAATATGACAATAGATGAAGAGCAGTAATCTGCTGGCGAAAATATAGCTATCTTGCTGTCTCAAGTTTTAGTTTAAAAAGTTGGGGAGTTGGGGGGGGCGGGAACACACACGTACACACAAACCCCCAAGAGAGAGAAATCAGATCACAATTAATTCACCTGACTGCCAAAGTAGGGTTCCTTCCTACAGCAACAACAAAACCATATTTATCAAAAGTATCAAAGCATTCAAACAACGGTTTGGTTATTCAGAAAGCTTTCTATATGCAGAAATGTTACTGAAGCCTAATTTTGGAAGGCAATCCAAAAGAGATATTCAAGTTAGCAGCAATTCAGATCCATTGCTTTACAAATCCAAGTGCAAAGTGCTTGGGATGGAGGATTTAAACTGCATCCAGTGGACACTATTTCACTGCCAGAATCTTATGAACATTCAAAAGCTTCCTTTTTCATTCTTATACAGTAACACATTCTCTGACCATAGTTTCATCATCATAAAAGACACATGTATACTTTATACCCAGATATCATAGCTACCTTTGCTGCAGTCTCCTTCTTCAGTTGTTCTTCTAGAGTGTTTTTTGTTTCCTGCAGACTCTCCAGCTGCTGCAGGTTTTCCTGCGAAGAACTTTCCAACTATATTATAATAATAAAAAAAGTATTAACTAAACCTCCTAACATTTCAATTTCTCACAGTCCCTCATTACAGGAAGTACACCCTAAGTGTCTTTCCCAGGACTCAAAAATACACCTAAATAATCTCTCCTAGGGACGCGGAAAACACCTAAATCACCTATCTTTCCCTCCATTTATTTCTTTTTGGAGCTGGAGAGAAATGGCCAAACCTGACATTTATGTTATTATTAGGTAGCCTAGTATTAGTTAGGAATTAGTTAACACAATATTTAGGTTACAGATTCATAAACACACAAAACACCTTTTAAGGAACAGAACTACGAATGTGTCCTAGTCCTACCCTGGCATCAATACAGTTATTCTGTCCTTCAAAGTTCCAGGCATGACCCTATGTGTTTCCTTTGAAATGGCTACAGAAGCTACACCGCTGCAGTTACAACATACATGCACCTACGCTCTTAGTTGATACCAAGAGTTGCAATGAACTCAGAGTGTCCTGTAGAGTGTCAGTGCCTTCAGTAAGAAAATCTGTTTAAATGCATAGAGTGGTGCTCATTCTTACAGAAAGGAAAGATTATCTATGCAAATAAGCCAGCCCTGCAGCATCCCACAAGCATGTTGACATGAAGGAACAATAACGTTACGTGTTTCAGAATTCTCTCCTTAGTTCAGCTCTCTTTCCTTCCCAACAATGGGCATACTAAACATCATACAAAAATATATCTAAGTGTTACTGACATCTCAAAGGCAGATGGGGAAAAAAGGTCATTTTCTCTGATGTGAAGAGATTGATGTCAAAGACAGCAACACAGTGTCACTGACAGAACTAGCAGAAAAAAAGAATCCTATTATCTTTCCTCAAAAAAAGAAAAAACAACCACCCAAAAGAAATCCCACAAGGAACGGCCTCCTTACCTGTTCCTTTTCCACTTTTATTCTTTCCAGTTCAGCTTTTAAACTGGAAATGGAAGCTGAAAAACAATAATATTAAAGCTTAAATGCAAGTAAAACACAGGAAACTGGACATACCCTGTTTACTTCTGTTAACGTTTACAGGAGAATTAAGCATGTGCTACATCAAAGGTACCTCAAAGGTAAACAAATAATTGCGCTTTTGTTTTCAGTTGCACAGCTTTGGTGTATCTGCTATCAAAAAAGGACAGTATTTAAAATTCAGGGAAGTCTACTTATCAGAAAATCAAGTCTCCACTTACCTTACCAATTTCTAATATTCCTATTTTGAGACTGCTTTACCCCTGCTTACCTATTTCCTCTTTGCAATTCTCTATTTCCAGCTGTAGAGTTTCTTCTATATTTTCTTTCAAATATTGTTCAGCTTGAATCTGTTCTTTTAAGAATAAAATCTCCGCCTTAAGTTTCTCCTCAAGGTGATCTGCTGCTGTCCGCACACTAATTATGTCTTCACGATATTTTAAAATCAGCTCACGGAGCTCCTGAATCAATGATTAGCAAAGATTTGTATTATGATCTTCAGATACTCACAGTACTGTATTTATCAGCATACAAGCCAAAGACAAAAGTTAAGCTACCCCGAGGTTTGTCCCACCATACCAGATCTTGCATTCAGAAGGTATTAAAACAAAATCACAAACAGTTTGCTTGGCCATGGTAAATGAAGAACATATAAAGATTCATGTCTCCACAGGCTTACGACCCTCTCCCCTTGCCCTTCACCCTCCACAATCTTTCAAGCTTGATGTGCTTGAGCGTAAGGGAGCAGCCATGAAAAGGATGACAAGGCTCATCATTATTCAAGGCTCAGGATTATTACTGGTCTCAATGCCTGGACAGAAGTGAAAGTGACTGATGTAGCTCAATTTATTGTATCAACATCTACACTGGAGCTATGGTGACTGAACACTTGTCTGTATAGTCGCAAAATACACCTTAAACTAGCTGAACTGGGATAAACCCATGCTCTACTGACAACTGAGCAGTTGTCCCGCCATAGTTAACTCATTATTATCTATCCATATCCTGAAGCATGCTCATGGCACAGTGGGATTAGACTGCTGAGTTTCTGTATCACAGACTTACAGGGTTAAAATCCAGATTATTGTTCACTGTGCTATTTGAGTCAGCTTTTTGATAAAGAAGATTATTCCAGCAAGATCTACTCACATGCATTATTTGTGTTAATGATTTAAAAATGTTTTACCTCTGCTGCTTCTGGCAGAATGAAATCTTCAGCTTGCTGTAAAGAGACATGCAAGCTATGTTTTCCTTGAAGACTTTCATTATCTTTTTGCAGTCTCACCAACTCTTCTGAAACCTGCTCCCTTGACTGTGTCAGGACAGCCTCCAATGCAAAGAAAAGCATAAATTCTCACTTAGGGTCATGCTCAGATCTCTCCATGCCCCATTTACTATCATTGCTTTCAAAAGTCTGGTGAATTGATATTGTTTGTAAAGAAGGGAAACAAAATGATTGCGTGGATCAACACGTTCAGTTCTCTCTTGCCTGGCCTATGCACCAGAAATAAAGGCAAGATCAATCTTAACTGTACAGGCAGACAGGAGGAAGCAAGTGATAAATACAGCATTGTTAAGCCTCCCAGTTTTCTTCCGTATTTATCCATTAGCTAGCTGTGCTCATGATGGGGGTGGGAAAATCACACGTGGTTTCGGGAACTGGCAGTGATGTTTATTAAAATCACCTAACAACTCAACTGTAAGATCAGGTGATTTGAAAGCCTTAAACATTCATCCTGAAACTTTCAATGGCAGGTGTCTGCCTCCCACTGTCTTTTGAGGTAAACATCAAAACAGCTGATCCCTTCTGAAGAAAAAGGATTAAGAAAACAGTTTTGCTTGCATTACAAAAGAAAAAAAAATCCAGTGAACTCTTCTGAGAGGAATGATTGCTTTGGTGCAGGGAAACAGGGACTCGAACTCCGACAGAAGCTGCCCTTTGCATTACTGGTGGACAGCACGTAAAAGCATATTCAGATAACACATTTCCCGAATCTCCTGCATCTCCATTAGGCACACGTTCATGCAGAACATCAAACAGAATACTTCTGCAAGCAACGTCCTGATGTCCTACAATCCCAGACCCCAGAAATGCAATACTGGGATTCATGCGAATGAATGCTCTTAGTCCCCGAAATGCTGTGCAAGGGAGGGGAAAAAAGAAGAAACTTGATTCTAATGTAGAAGGGAATTAATTGCTCTAAGGAAGTTAGACTTTGCTCTGCCCTAGAAAACGAGGTCCTATTCCTAGTCTCTGGCTTAATTCTTACACGAGGCTCAAAATAGTTTAAAAAAACGTAGTTCCCATACATCTCTCTCTTCCTGGGTGTTAGGGCTGATATTTTAAATCTGATCTGCAAAAACATTGAGCATTCATCTCTAAAACTCAAGATAATATTCACTAGTGATAGTACTTGTGACGAATCCTAAAACACTGCCTTGAGAAAAATCTATTCTGTCTTCAGATCTGAGGTGAAATAAGATACTAAACGGGCATGGAATGTACATAATGAATAAGGGGGAAAAGAAGTTGACTACTGATCTCCATATTAATCAATACGCATACACACAGAAATTATGAGACTGACCCTACAAACTGTTACAGGTCCAGCACTTGCTATCAGAGCTCACTTCATCAGCATCTTTACATGTTAAGATGCATAGCTCTCTCCAGCCAAGCTTGGCTGAGCAGCAAGACAAAGTCTTTTACAAACACATTGAGCTCCAAAGGTTAGACAAACAGTCCTGTTCAAGCGATCCCTGGGCTTAAGCTGCCTTACCATTTGCTCCTGGACACTTCTCTTTGCTTGTGAAAACGCCTGCTGCAGTTCGCTGAGGAAGTTCTCCGACTTTTGACATTTAGCCATAAGCAAAGAGATCTTAAAAAAAGAAAACCCACACAAAGATATAAAGCATGAAACAGACTGTGAAGAAGAAATAACCAGTAAAGTTCTCTTGTCTGTTATCATTACTAATATATACTTCAAAATTTCAAACTAATCCACTGAAGTTTATTTTGTTAATTCCTTACTCTCTAAAGCAGTCATGCAGCTCAAGTCAGTAAGAAGAGATGCTGTGCTTCTATACCAATAATATACTTACATTGTATTTACCAAACTCTAAAGAACAAACAAACAGTTAATTCTAATCAAACTTGAGTATAAGCCAGTTCAGGGACACTGAAGGGAAACTGCAGAGCTACTACCTACATTTTCAGCATTTTCTTTGAGGTAAAGTAATTTTTTGTACCTTTCTCTGAAAGCATAGATCTTCAAAAACTTTACAATTCAGTTATTCTACAACAACACATGCTTAACACTAAGATTAAGCATTACTTAATTAAGAGCACCCTGGTACAGCCAACAGAAACGAACGTATAAACATATTCCTGTCATCTAAGACAGACTTTGCCTAATGACTACTGTTTCCTTAGTAAGAAAAAAAATACTGGGTGGGATGGAAAAGAGAAAGTCTTCCAACTCAAGTGAAATAAATTCACTGTCTTGTACACAGCATTTACCTAATATTGTAATCTTTAAGAGGTCAAAGATGATGACTTTTTTTTTTCCTCCCTTAAAGCTATGACTATCGTACATCCTATTTGGCTCCATTGTTCCAGGAGAGTTATGGAACATCTCAGACTGAAAAATCTTTTCAGCAGGCTATTATTTTAAAGAAGTCTAGTGCATATTTTAGACCAAACTACTGTTACTGCCTGCTCGACTACTGTACGTCTTCACCACAAGTCCATTAACTGGCTGTCAAGTATTGATGAGGGCAAGTAGTATGAATAGTACGACTCTTCCACCGACAAGAACAGTGACCAAGAACACAGGGCTACTTTTGCATGTTTGGGTGATTTCATATACAGGTCACTTCAAGACTCAAACACTACTCAAATTCCAATTGTCGTCTCTGTAACAGATTTCAAGATTAAAGATGAAACTTCCGGGCCAAAACTGGATAACATGATATTGGAGACATGTCAGACTTCTCTAGAAACTGTGGCAGACTCAGGCGGAGCATAACTAACCCTACAAATTCTCGGTTTTGTTGCCTCTACAGCAGGTAGTCCATCCGTATCTAACGGAAGATGAGTTCTTGCTACATACTATTGAATAACATTTCATGATTCCTACCATCTTGATTACAAAATGCTTGTACCTGATTAGAGGAGTCTTCAGCACTTTGTTTCATGTAATCCTCCAATTCCTGTTTATCTTTCATTGTCTTTTCCAGCTGGTCATTAGCCTGCCTCAACATTACCTGCAGCTTTTTCACCTGTGTTGTTACAACAAAATAATTTCATTTTCCATTCTTTTGGGGAGCGTTTATTTCCTGAACACAAATATAACCTACCCCATCGCACTCCCAAACCACAAAACAAAATCCCTCAAAACCCTATGCAACCCAGAAGTTCCCTTGTTCTTCTGAAACACCCTGCATCACAGATTACACCTATAAGGAAACATGGGACATAAAACTGCACTGGACCATCGCCATGTAATGACCTCAATCACTTATTTCAAAGCAGAATGTGACTCATGCCTTCCGTACCCATCTGAAAATTGTTCTTTGGTATATGGCAGGAAACAAACATTCTCCAATACTTCACAGTCATTTTATGCTGCTAGGATGAGGTCCTCTAATTTTTCCTTTGCTAGTAACAATTCTTGCAGTATCAAAGATAATAGAATTTAATGCACAACAAGCATTTTAGAATATAAATTATGAAAGATACTGACTTCAGCATGTGAACAACACCTTTTATAGAACACTGCCTTTACTGTGTGGTCTTATAGCACCGGATAAAGTCATTCTGCAAGGTGAATCCTTAAGAAACATATACATGTGGTGCTCATGACCACATACCAATAACAACTCGTGTTATAGCAATAAAATGTCAGAAGTTATCTGGATTTTAGGTATGTTGACATTGTTCAATTAAAACCAGTGAATAAACCACCAGATGGTTCATTGTTGCATCTTTAGTAGTTCAAATAGCTGCAAAAATCTTGCTAAAGCTAGAAGAGAAATCCCACCTGGTCTCTTGTCTCAGCCTCCTGAATCTGGATACCTTGCAACTGCTTCTCATAATTCGAGCACATATCACAGCGTCTACCCAGCTTGTTCCCTGCATTCTGCACCTGGAGAACACAGAGTTATCACCTGCCATAAAGGCCATAAAATTCTTCAAGGAATGCAGGAGTACTACACGCTCTTCGGTGTGTTGTGTGATCACAAAATATTACAGGTAAAAGATAGTGGCAGAATCATGTAATGGCAAGATTAAGTTGCTCTAAAAGTAAACGATAATGTAAATCAGCTGCAGGATACCAGATCTCCTGACATGAGTCCTGCTATTAGCACAAAAGCAATACGCCATGACATGCAAGAGTTCATCAAGTCATTCAGTGTGTCCTTTTGAAATATATTACTTAATTACCTGTACAGAAACAGATATTTCAGAGAAAAGCTTTCAACAAGCTACAGCATTTTTTCATGCAATCATTTTGCATCACAAACCAAATTATAAACACAATATTATGGTGTTTGGTTGGGGGTCTTTTTTGTGTGTATGTAGTTGTTGTTGGGTTTGGGTTTTTTTTTTGTTTGTAGGTTTGGGGTTTTTTTTTATCTGTGTGTGTGGTTCTGTTTGGTTTTTTTTTTTTAAATCATCACAAAGTGATTAAAAAGCAAGTCAGATCATCAAGTCAGAACTTCCCTAAATCTTTTTCTTCCTGTAACTGAGCTTTGAATATTTTTCAATGGCACACACTAATTTTGTTCTCTAACAGTCATCAAGTTTTATTTACTTTTTAATACCCTCCTCCAGTATTGCTCAGTATCAGAGACTGAATAATCAGCTAAAAGAACAATTGGGAAAAAATAAAGCAGAAGACAGGCAGATTAAAAAACAAAACAAAACAAAACAAAAACGAAACAGGAGAGGAAAAATCTCAAAAGGTGTTGCAATGTGCAGCAGGGAAACAAAGAGTAAACCAGCTGCCATTTTGAAATTGTAATGGTTTGGCCAAGGGGACAAATGGAAGTTTTATCAAAGCTCCAGCTGCAACTCAGGTTTGAGCCAAAAACTTATTTGTATTTGCTGCTCCATGTGCCACCCACACAGAGTGGCATTCACACACCCTGCCTGTATTCCTGCCTCCAGAAACACAGGGGAAGCAGGGCATTCCTTTTCTGAATTCTAAGAAAGGGTTGGAGTAAAATGTCATTGAAATGTCAACAGGGCAAGGAAATACTCAAGAGTAGAAGATTTAACTCAGCTCTCAGATCACAATGTTGTAATTTCTCCAGATATTACAAATTAGTAGCAACATCAAAAAAAAAAAAAAGCAACTTTACAATACGTTTGGAGATACCTCCTAAGTAATGATTTGCCAATAAGCTGAATTCCAACAAGTTGATGAAATAAAGTATCACTAGTTCTTCACTTCATCTGTCCTTTGCCTGGCCTCTTCTCTTTCACTGCATTCCTAACATTCCTTTTTTTTACCCCCATCTTGTCTTCCTTTTCACCCATTATCGATTATTATCTCCTTGTCCCCGCCTTTTCTTCCCGCCAAAGTGTTGCTCTGTGGTCTCTCGTCCTCTGAAAGAGTAACCACAGGAGCCCCAGAATACTCTTCTTTTCAGCAAGAAATGAAATGCAAGCTTTTAACTGGCATCATATAAAGCTGCTGAAAAACTGACAGGCAGAACACCCAGAAGCAACAATTTCCTTGGTCATCCATACTGCAACTGGCACAGTGTCAAGTCTAATCCGCTGCTTGTCGCTCTCAGAAATTGCTTTCTGATGATGCAAGTCCCCAACAGTTTTCTGAAGCTTCCTTTGTGGTAGCTGTGTGTGTTATGCATATTTTGGCTGCTCATTTCTAAATTGCACTCCATGTACAATCCTCAGGAAAACTCCTTGGCCTACAAAACAGCACTGTTAGCTCTGCTCCTTTTGTTAATCTTTGCACTTTCCTAGTTGCCCCCAGTTGCACTATAATGTCTTTTCCTTAGTTTCCCCATTTCCTCCTCTTCTTTGAGTTCTCCTATCTTTTTTCACTCACATATTTGCAAGATCAACAGCTACCTCTGCCAGACGCTCCCCATAGCGCACAAATATCCTCTATTTAGTAAAGCCGACTTTCCCACAAACAGTCAGCCAATATGGTTTACATCAGATGTGCTTTACCTACAGAAGCATTCCAAGAGAGAAAAGTGAATAACCAGCTATGATGCTACCTAATTCCTCCTGCACCTGACTCCATGTAAAGCAAATCAGGAAGAGCTTTCACCTAGCAGATGGCCCACAACACGCAGGCAGCCCACCACGCAGGCAGTGGTCACAGCTGACGCATGCAGTGGGTACTCACCTCCTTCTGCAGTAGGTTCCACTCCGTCTCGCTAACCAAGCGGTAACCACTAGGAGACACATAAGCACTTTCTACCCCTTGTGTAACACTGGAAAGAAGTGAAGCAGTCTCTTCTTGCTCTGGTGTCATTGCTTTGATCGCTTTTTCCTGATCTTTGGTTAACATGAACCCACTTGGCATTTGCAGAGACCCAAGGGAAGCTGTATCAAAGTTCTCAGATGCTGAGTCTGCTCCAACAAGTGGTCCAAAATCCGACTCATCCAGGTTCCCAGCAGATTTTGCTTTGTTGTTGTATCCTAAAGCTTTGGACTGTAAAGATCCAGATGTCCCCAGACTGTCTGTTGACTGTGCTCGCCGTAGTCCATCTTTAAACATATCATTATCTGATTTATTGAAAGATTCGCCAGAAGAAAGAAGCAAGTCTGCATCCAAGGAATGGACTGAGCCATGGGTGCTATTTACAAGCACCTGGAATTGAAAAACAAGGAAGAAAAAATTACGTGCCGCGCTTCTAGAATGGAGTATAAGAGGAATGCTTGACACTATGGTAAAGGCAAATTTAAATTGGTTTTGGCAAGAACATCTGATCATTAAGCTTAAGATGGCAGAGAAAAGGAGAGAGAACTGAAATGTACCCGCTAGAATTAAAAACCAAAACAACCAACCAACAAAGAGTTTTCTGTTAACAGAGTGCTTTTGTAAGAATCTCTCTTCCTGCCAGAAAAGCAGGGATACAGTCACCTTACATCTTCCAATATTTGAAACAAGGTGCTTGTTCCACTAAAGAGATATACTTGCAGTATCACTTCTGGAACTATAATCTACACAACAGAAGGCAAATACTCCACTTCCACAAGTAAATTCAGAAGTCTTTCATAAAATAAAAAAATTTACATTAACATAAAAAGAAATGGAGAATGATATACTTAAAATCTACTCTACACTGACAAGTGAATATTCTTCTATTTCTTTCTCCTGCTTTGAGTGTCTGACAAAATGTTGTAAGAGAAAGAAATATTTTCTTTAAAAGATTATTTGTGCATAAAATAAAATGAGAAGGGAAAAGGCTGGGCTTAAACAGAAACGTATCCTGGGGAATGCCAATACCAAAAGCCACACTAACCGTCCTGTGACGTATATAAGGCACATTAAGTCTATTGATCTATTTTTGTTTACTTCTAGCACTGAAAAGAGAACAGTAATGCTTTATTTAAAAAGCATATGACTGCTTTCAAAATACTTTCCGATATATTATGCACTTCTGCTTTGCCATTAGACATGTAAAGAAAATACCACTGAAAACAAGCCTCTTGAGAAAAACAATAATTCCAAAACAGGTCCAGCAGAGACTGGCAGGCGGTTGGTACTTCCGTATAGGTGTTTATAACTTACAACTATGTATTATGTACTACGGTTTTCATGACGGTTCTAAACGCCTTGTTTTAACCATTTTTAGGCACAATACTTATATTTACATGTACATATATGAGTTCATAACAAAAAGTCAAGAGAATACAGACTTATATAAAATTGCATCTTCAGACAACAACTGTTTGGCGATACAGTCAACAAATCATTTCTCTGTATTGCAAACTGCTCAACAGAGAGGAGCTCAGAAGTCCAATTATGACAAGTTGTAAGACATGATCATAATACAATTTATTACCATGTGCTGTAAAACACATTCTGTACAGTTAAAAAAAGGTCATAAATAATAACAAAACCAAATCCATAAACAAAAACAAAACCACTCTGGAAACTATGCCCTTTCTCAAAATGTAAAATTTTCCATTATGTGTAACTGCTAGATTTAAATAAATTTTGTGAATTAAGGAACTAAAGAGTATCCTAGGAACTGAGATTAAAGAAAACATCAGAAGATGAAACTTTTGTTCACCACCAATATATCTCACTTGCATATTTGGATACAGAAGTGTTAGCATACAACACAGTATTTGAAATAGAAAGTTGTATCCTTTACTGTAGGATAAAGGGTAGAACTAGATCTCAGCTACATTTGGACATTATGATTCTGAACATCTTTCTGCATTCTGAGCTGTTATAAATCATTGATAAGAATGAAGGGCAGACTATGGAAGTATATATTTTTCCCCTTCAAAAAGGATAAATAAAATGGGCAATACTGGCTCACACTGCAAATTCTCAAGTCTCTTGAAGCTTACAAAACTTTCTATAGCACAAAACTTGGTTTGTTTTAATTAATTTGTCCCTATTTTGACTTACCAAACCAAAATGGAACCCATCAGATGATCAGATAAACAAGCAAAATGCAGTGGAAAAGGATAAGTAACTGCCCATTTTGATCCTGTTTCCAAGCTCCAACCTGTGTGCTCATTGGACTTGTTTCCTCACAAGTGAAAAGCTTACGCAAATTTCAAATACAATTTCAGCTTGTCCGAGTGTATGACTATCTACAACACCCAAATGGCTTGCTAACTAATGATATCCAGCAGCATCACTTTTTCTGGCTGTTATAATGGGTTTACTAATACAGCTCAAGCAGCTTCAGCAAAAACTTGGTGCTGAGCCCCAGCTACTGGCTTGGCTAAAAAAAAGTTTATTTTTGGCTGCCGAACAAATGTGTCCAAAAACTTCAGCTCTCACAGTTGGATGTAGCTTTAATACATCCAGACACACACATCATATTATTTTGCACATGCTAATCAACTGGCTAACTTCACAATGGGTGATCTCAGACTTGTCTAACCAGTATAAGTTTAGCACAGAATTCAACAAGTAGGTTAGCAAAGTAGCTACAATACACTTGTTGAATGTTCAGATCTAATTGGTTTAATTCTGAACATTTAGGTGCGTTAGAACATGGTTATAAATCCCAAGAGAATTTCACAGGAGTTAACATCCAGAATGCAAAAGGCAGAATTACAGTTTTTAACAGCACCTCTCAGGATTGTAAATATTGTCTTCCAATCTTTATTAGAAATTACATATTCAAGTGCAACTCCAACAATTTTTCACTGTTGAATAAGAATTATAAGCTACAGAGAATAAAAGGCACTAAGTTTGTGTTTGTAACCAACACCTGAGGAAGGCATGAGCGCTCAAAGTTGCTTTGAACTATCCAATTGTTTTACCTCTTCATTAGAGAGCTGGGTGAGGGTTTCCTCATGGGCTAGAGAACAGGAAGCTTTTGTTTCATCATCTGAATCTTTTTGCTTCTGCTCCTTTCTCTTGCTAAGCCTTTGCTGATCATCTTCCTCCTAGAATCAGTGGTCGACAGAGAACACATATAAGCGGGATTCAATTTTGCTGCAGTTATCATGAAAGCTAATGTCACAACAAACTAAGCTACAAAGAAGGCACTGGAAAAGATTATTTTGGTTGAAAATCCAGTATTTGTCACGTAAGGATTCTTTTGGTTAAAAATCTAGTGTTCATTTCACAAGGCACCCAAACTGACTTAAGTGAGAACGTACTTTTCAAGTTTAGTGGCCAATTCACATTCTAGAATAATTTTATTAAAAGAACGTATTACCCAGATAAAAATATTATAGGGATTATCAAATAAGTAACAAAAAAAGTTGTTACATTGGCTATTGTATAGAACTTGATAACATATTCGCATCACTAATGGCACCATTAACAGCCATCATACAAGCATGAGTATTAAAACAAAACATGAAAACAAGAAGTGTCTTGATCACTCTAAACAACGGAATATAACATATGGAAAAAGAATCCAAAGAAAGACATCAGAGAACACCAAGTCATAAAGCATGTACACAATCACTTCCACAAGTTAATTTAAAATGAAGCTCTTAATTTACGCCTGAGATAGGTACTGTATTGGAAAAACCTAGAAAGAAGCGAAACTTGCTATCCTAACATCCTTGACCCAGATGTTTCACATCACAGATCACTGTTTCTTCCTCCAAGATTAACTTCTGGATATTATTACCTTTTCATTTAACAACATTGGCAACATTACTTTCAAAGTTACTATATACATTAATATTAAAATATTCACACAAATGGAGAGCTTCTATTATAACTGTCATCTGTCATTCAAATAGACAATTTCTATTAAAACTGTCAGCTATAATTTTTTGAAATATTAACACACTTAAATAACTTGCCCTCAACATACGATTTCCATACCTGTTATACCACATTAAATCTAAAGTATTTAAAAAAAGAGGAAGGTAGCAAGTAACCTGATCCTTTTTTTTCAGTTCTTCAACTTGTCGGAGCTGCTCAGAGGTCAGAACAATTTCCATACGTTGCATGTCCCTCATCAGCAAACGTTGAGACTCCAAGAACTGGTCATTGGCTTTTTGCCATGTGTGTTTCAACTGGTTGTGCTGTTGTCGCTCTTGCTCTAAGAGATGGCAGACTATTCAAAAACAGAAAGAGTCATTCTGAACCAGAATTTTTTTTAACCTCTTTTCCAAAGGTAAGTATTTTCATGAATAAAAGTAATTATTGTCCTAATCAAGATGAGTCAGGCTTTGGTCAACAACTATTTAGGATGAAATAAGAAATCTTCTTAATTCTCAAACTTGGCTTGTGATTAGGGATTTATTACTGACAGTTTAAGATTTCCCAATTAGAAGAATAATGTCTTAACTTCATTCATGAATTCTAATAGTTTATTTTTTTCTTAGTGCTGCTTTGAAAAGACTGTCTTCTACATTCCTATTTATTTCAACAGAAGGTTCCGTTTTTCATTTCTCCACAGTGACTCTGCGCTGGCATGCATGTACATGTACACATCCATTCCACCACCAGGCATTCAGAATTGACATACCTCAGGGAGGCATATCAATATGTTATGGAAATAGTGCTCATAATTGTACACAAATTATAGACACCAGTAAAATCACTTCAGTAAGAAGGAAGCTTGCAATAATATAAGAACTTAGCAGAAATTCATTAGCATCCCTTGACAGAACGAATGCCTCTGTTGTTTTTCTCCATCATAAAAGAACTCCACATTCAACTCTTCTGTAAACATTTTAAGGGCTTTCACATTTAAAAGTACTGCTGCCTCCTCCCACAATTTCTTTAAATCCAATTCAAATAAGAAATCAGAAAAGAATTAAGAACTATGTTGGGTTTTGCATCCTTAGTGCAAAAAAGTCAAAAGGATTATTATTAGATAGGTACCTTCATGCAGTTCTTTTCGCAACTTCTCTGCATCTTCTTGCAGGACTGACTTTTGCGTGTTGAGAACAGCCACATACATCTCTAAGTCTGTCCTACATGACTTCTCGGCTTCCAGATAATGGTTCAGTTCTTTAACCTGAATGAAAAGAGGGAAATCTGCCATCTCAGCGGGGGAACACTCTCAGGAATTTCCTTTTTGCTAGAAATTACAGTGTTGCTTGCTCAGGTAACGTACAGGTGTTGAAGGACAAGTTTATTTCTAGAAATCACAAATATTCAACTACTGGTGTGCAAGTAGTACTTGTATTTATTTCTGAATAAATTACGCATTAAAATTCTGCTAAGTCAAACATATCACTATATCACAGTATAACAGTCAGATCACAAGAGCAGTGGCACTGAGCACAGAGATGGTAGAGGCAAATATCTAAGAAGAGCAAACAATGAAGCAATCCTTTAATCAGCATTGGTAAGCCCACAACTAAGTAGGATGTGGAGACGGTTCAAAATAGGGTAATAATAGTAGTCAGAAAACACGACTATGAGGCAAGCTTGAACTAAACCAAGGACAGTAAGCCTAAGAAGAGAGAAAACTTGGGGACAGAGAAGAAAAACAAACACATACACACACACATTCAAACCCATGAAAGACTGCTGCAAAAAGAAAGGAAAAATCTGTCAATGAAAAGCAATTACATCAAGAAAGACTGAAGAATTATATTAGGACTTTTTTCTTCTTTTTGTTTTTTAAATAGCAAAGCTAACAAAGAACTGGAAGGAACGTCCTGCAGAGATTGCAGGAGCTCCATGGAGAATCTTTTAAGATAAGGTTACACAAATGTCTGTCAAACATGATGGCTGTAGAAATGGATTCCATGTTGGAGCAAAGAACGGCTTGAAAGATTTCTTTGTGGCACTACCCAGTTTTATGGTTTGCTGAGTCAGAAATCACAGGAGTTTTTATTTTAAAGGAAACAAAAGCCTTCAGGCAATTCCTCACTGGCTCCACAGACCTGCTGTTCATCTTCCTCAACACAGTATGGGAGCCACAGACACCAACTCAGAGGTCAAGATAGTCCTTTGGCTTTAACTTGCCATTGATGGTGGGGACAGCTTCTCCTGCCCTAGGATACCAAGTCTTCTATCTGCTAGCCTTTTAGCCTTTGGAATGGAGAACCCGACTCCCAGAGAACAGCCCATGGGGAGGGCAAGAAATGAAATACAGTTTCACTAATCCAGCTAAACACTCAACACTAAAACACAAAGTGACATGACTCAAGCAGATCTGAGAGATTTCATCACGACCAACAGAAAAGCCAAATATACTGCTCATTCTGCATGCCAGTCTTCATACCTGTCTAGTAATATGAATCACGTAAATAATACCTTGCATTTTTATAACGCCATAAAGTACTTTAACAACTTCCTACATTTCTGCTTAAATATCTCCTTGCTAGATATAAAATAACAATTCTTTCCCACTAAGCTAAAAAGGTGACTTGAAATAGGACTATCAGTACCTTCAGACAGAAGGAATAATGAAGTGGAATTGACCACAGGCAAGAATTAAGGGCCTAAGTTATTTTCTTCAGTAAGAATCATCATCTAAAGTGAAACTTATTTAAAAATAAGCCCCCTAGAAACACGGATAAAGTGGTTATTCTCTCCCCCCCCTCCCCATGAGATGTATGCTTGTGTTTTACTCATCCCATAGAACGACATGCTCAGATTTTAGAGGACTGACAGAGACACCAACACAATTGCTGGTTCTGAAACATCATCAGTTTTACTCAGGCCTTGCCTGTAAGGAAAGAGAATGACACACAAGAATGACCTATGATTTTTATTACCAAATTCAGCAGACAAGTTCTAGACTACTGTTAAGAAAAGAAGGAAAGACAAAAAAGGAAAAACAAACAAAAAACAAACCATTTTGAGAGCAAGCAAGAAGAGAAGGTTCCCATTTCCTCATCTTTCCTAAATTCATCCTAGCAATGAAAAGGAACTATTATTTGCATCAAGAGAAAAAGCAGAACTACCTGCAGATTATTCCTAGGAACATTTCAATCTCAGAAATTTGACCTACAAAGCACAAAGAATCCATAAAGAAGGAGAACACACAAGCCTGGATTCTCAATCTAGCGAAATTTTGTAGACTGTTAAATGAATTACACTGTTGTCCCAAATCTCAGACAGACCTCCAAGTTGGCATAAAAGAGGGGAAAAAAAAAAAAAAGAAAAAAAAAAAGAGAAAGAATTCCAGCAAGTGATGAGCATCTATTCAAATGAGAATGCAAGTGACCCAGAAGACAAGGCAGGCGTTTATTTCTGTCTTAAAAACATCCACATGGTAAGTTACTTTGCATTTTTCAGCTTATTGGACTTTTAAGATAAAATATTTGTTACAGAAGACATCTTCATTTCTGTATAAAACAGTACATTAAATGCAACTACCTTACAGTGATGTAGATATTATTTACCCTTCACAGCTGATGAGAAAGTTCAATAGGGGTTCTGACATATCTGAAGAATACAGAAATGCTAGATAAATCACTTAAATTGATTTCTTGGCAGAAATGATCAGTATTCCTTTCCACCAATTTAAGTTTTGCTTAAATTTTAAGATGTAAAAATTCTGGTGATATTGCCTCAGTTTTATGCCCAGGATTAGAAAATTAAATATAGCAGATGCTGGATGGAAGTACATTAAAAGAATTCTGCCAAATGCAAATCTTTCTGTGGCTGTAAGCATGACACTAATCTAAAGGCCAGGCTGTTGGAGGGATGCAACACAGCCATTTTTCTAGAGCTTTTTCTTTTTTATTACTAGTAGATCTGAAGCCATGCAATTTAAGGTAAGCACAGATCACACACACACACACCTAACGCAACCTTCAAAACAGAAAGATGGGAAAACATACACAGGCCAAATACGTTATTTGAGCTACAGGAGAAAAGATGTATTGCGCATGAAGAGTTTCACAATACACCCTCTTCTCTCTTACAAAATTTTACTTTACTTATCTGAATCAAACTAGCATTCTGCAAGACATAAATTAGGATTCAGTTACAACTCCACCTCACCTTTGATGCTTCTAACTCTTTTATTTTTTCTTCAGCTCCTGTCAGTTTCTCCTTAAGCGTTGCAATCTCTTTCTCCATAGGCATCACAACGGAACGCAGCTTCTCAGCATCTTCCTGGGCCTGAATTTAATGCAGTAAGTTATGAATAACACGTTATCATAGTTTTCATCACACCAGTTTCCATTATCGGAGACATTTGGAGAAAATCTCTATGCCAACAAAAATAGCTGACTGAACTTCCACTTTCAATACTCATCTTCCTGCTATTTATTTAGTTCAGCAGTCATCTCTATGACAACAGGCCCATATTACTCCATTCACAGAAGGCAGCTAGATTTTAAATCCCTGTATGGATTAGACCATGAATATCTGTTTTTAAAGAGAATGTTAGTAAATCTGTCACTCTTGATACTTGGGAGAAAATTTACGGATCGGGCATTTCAAAATACGTACACTTTACTGTTATTAAAGGCCTAACTGTCCTGCAACTTGCTGCCACACAGCACATACAAAAAAAATGTAACACAAGAATTGCATGGTGAGTTATCGGTCATTCATTTTCTTATCATGAAGTTAAGAGAAAAAGGATCTGCACAGTAATGCACAGTGTAGCTTTGTTCTGTTTTGGAAGATTGTTTTTCAACTTTAAATTACTACTGATGTAGCATCAATTTTTGGTGTTACTGTACTAAATATTTCAAAATTATATACAAACAATTTATCAAAAATCCCATGATTTTTTCAAAAAGTAGTTCTGAAAAGGTAAGAGTAGGACAACAGAATGAGACAAATGATATGAGGGGAAAAAAAAGAGCCAGGTAAAAATAGCGAGAATCAAAATGCGAAACAGTGTTCAGCGTTCAAATTCAGAATTGCACATGTCAAAGGGTGGCCCTGACATTCCCATTTCTTAAATGCTCTGGTTTTCATGGATGCACTAAAAACTTTCCAAGTGAAACAGCTCCCATAGACTCCACAACAGCAAGCAGACCACTCAAATATTTGCCACAGTAAAATTCTTCAAGTCACAAAGAATTTAAGCAACCTAATTTGAGTTGGTTTTATGTATGAAGGCTCAGAATGCTCAATTGTTCTCTATGTTCTACTGGAGAAACTCAGCAGGGTTGAGAACTGTGTCCCACAGCCGACGTTTCAAAAGATGTCACTTTTCCTAATCTGATCAGCAAAGACAGCCACTAAAAGATAACATTCATGTCTTGTTTTAAATCCAGACTAGAATGCAGGTCTCCGAGGCTACTCATTTGACGTTCAGTTTCTCGTAAGCTTGTTGACAAGTGTATTCTCAGCAAGGCTTTCAGGAAGAAAAATGGACAATATTTTCAACCACTGACATTTTCTAAACTTAAAGTTAATATGCAGAATAAAATAAAATTGCAATATCTGTCAATTATACAAATGCTACCAGGTCCCTTAGGCTCTAAAAAGCTTGAAAGAAAACTCTATAGACAAAACAAAATTAAATTTCTTCATGTTCCATTCACTTCTGCTACATTTTGTCACTGCTAGTTTGCCTGTCCAAAGAGTACAAATAAAATCTGTGAGGAAAGTGAGGGACATCACATGACACAGTGAATTCAATACCAGTGACATGTGACAGTGTCACACGTACATACATATCCTGTCACTTGCAGCCAACAACTCATCAATCACATTTTTCGAACTGATGGGAGCAGGAGTTCAACTTCAAACATTGCTTTATATTTCATTTATTGTATCACATCTATTCATTTAATGTTACCTATAGCCGTCTCATATGGACTAATAACATTTTTAGGACTGCTGAATAAGCCTTTTCCTATTTATTAATGATAACTGTGGAAATATTTCATCACCAGTCTGATTTCACATGGTTCAACACCGAACAGAGAGCAACAAATGCATCCATGTGAGGACCAACCAGTTCTGAGAAACAGTCAGAAAGTTGTCTGAAAGCAAAATCAGACGGCTGAACAGCAACCAACTGTATCAAATTCCACATGACAGAAAAATTACTCTAGCTTTTACTGCTTGGTAAACAGAGCTTAAGTTTGACACTATGGTTGCAACATATTGCAAATGTTTCCTTTTAAAACAAAACCAAAAAAAAAAGGCAAGGGGGATGTTGAGGGGTAAGGATCCATATTAAGGGACAGCGTGACACTGAGCTAAACACTCAGAATAGCCTATACCTGCTAACAAAATGAGTGTTGGTCACTGGGTCTGCTTTTGAAGGTAAAGTATAAATTACTAAGACTCCCAAATTGAGGTTAAAGTTCCCAAACTTTTAATAAAATGAGAATACCTACCCTGTCAAAAAATGCTACATACAGATACTGTCACATGTGGCAAGAGGTGCCACAGCATCACATTTCCTGTGTTAAAAGGCGTTATTCAGACTCTTCCAGAGGTGTGATCCTCAAAACATTTATTTCCTTCTAACTTTCTGACAAACTAAGTTGACCGTCAAAGACCATGGTTTTACACATTATCAGCTTGTATTATTCATCACCCAATCAAAACCAAAGCACCCAAACCACTCCTGCCCCAGCACAACTTGCCTCCCCCCAGCACAGCGGCTGAAGACCACGCTGCAAGGGATCTGCAGACCACAGCGTGAAGATGACACCACAGAGAGAACATGCTAAAAATGAGTTCAAGTCACCATGCAAAACATTGCATTGCTACCCTGACAGCTAGCTACAGCAATCCTGAATTTTTCTTTACTGTTACTCCAACCAACATTTCCAGAAGAATAAAAATCTGGCTGGAGAAATCTCAGGCAATACTGTAGCTGAATTTGTTCCTTAAAAATGAGAATTTCTCTTTAAAGTAGAATTAATGCATTTAAATTTCCTCTAAATCTACTCCACTGTTCTTTATCATTACCAATGAAAGCAGCTTACTGTACCAGATTTTATGGCCAGCTCTGTCACAGAAATCGGTTATTCTCCCCTTCCAATTTCCCCTCTTCTGACTAATAAGCACACTTCATAACAGGAGGTTTGTCCTTTCTTGCTCTCTCTCTATGCAAAATACCTGTTCTGCAGACTTCTGCTACTCAGAGTTTGACACAACTGTGCTAAAAGTCATCTTTATACTCTTCACAGCTCCAACAGCAAATCAGATCCTTTCCTGAATGGAAAATGAGGTCTGAATAAAAAGGGACTAGTGAAATTTTGCCAGTGGGCACGACTCATCCTCATCAAATCCTTGTCCAGAGGGAGCCCAGTCATTACCAAGCAGAGGACTTGTATGGAAGTACACGTTGCTATGGCTAGACTGCTTTTAGCATATGTGATAAAACCCCAAAACCTATCTGGTATTACAATGCAACAGGAAGACAGAGAGAGTTTTATAAATACCAGTACATTTTCTGAAAGATGAATCACTAGGTAAGCACGCTTATCGTTACAGCAAGGTATTTACCTTTTTTGAGTGGGGAAGGGAAGTTTATAGAATACACACAAAGTTTTCAGGACAGATTTCTTAGAAATCGTTGCTTTATGATAAAAATCACAGAACATACAAGTTTTCTACAGAGATTTGGCAATTTGCAACTTGAAATATATTTACATGGAAAAGCAAAATAACTGCTTCCAGACAAGTGCATGTGTTCCACCAGACATGCTCTTTCTGACAAGAGGATGCTCAAGAACGCCTAACACCAGGTTTGCAGGCAAGACTTGGATACCTCTGGCAAAGTAGTCACAATCTAGTAAATACACCTTAAAATAGCATGCTCATCAAAACACTACCCACCTGCTCCAAGTGCTCCCAAACCAGGATAAATAACATGCACACTGGAAGCCTGATAGCACACATACCAAAACTGTACACTCAACCAAATAAACAAACTTTAAATTCAAAGAGATATTTACAGAATTTGGAGCAATATTTGTTATCTACCCTTCATCTCTTTCAGGAGAAAAAGTACGCAGACAACAAGTATAATCATTACCAATTATGTGGACATAGTATTAAATTTTATGGATTTTCTTTGCAGTCTAAAATGGATTTTATAGCCAAGTTGAACACAACTGAGCTGAGATATTACCCAGTCATGGGAGCCAAGAAGGTTAGCATCCTGGACTGAAACATAGGGCTTGCAATCTTGTCTCTGCTCTGTCCATTCTTCTCACCTCACCTCTCTCTGAGAATACTAGACAATGGTTTTCTGCTAGTTCTAAGAAAGGTGATATATTATATGCTTGTATAGCATCTACTTACGATCCAGAGAGCAAAGTAGTACTTTTCTTTTTTTAGTCCTTTGAGATGTTTGGAGATTCCTTAGAATTGGCTAGAAGATGAAGATATCTTTGAAAAACTCTTTCCAAGTTTGTGCCTTAAAATAAAATAAATCCATCCTTACAATAGAGCATATAAGGATGGAGGATAAATACAACATTGTTGGTTGGAAATGCCATTTTGTACGAGGAATTGATCACAAGTCTTCAAATATCACATCCCAAGTGATCAAGAAAATTCCTCCTTTCACACTGACTGCTGAGGCATGAATATTCATTATTTTGCTAGCCAAACACAGCGTTTTATGGGCTTGGGATTTGCTCATTTGTTTTTAGGTAAAATTGAATGTCCTTTTCCTAATTTTGGTCTAATTCTTAGCCTCCTTGAGCAAAAAACTCACAGATCTAATGACAAAGAAGAGTCAGAAAACCCATGCAAAGCAGTTTAAGCAATTATTTCAAGCTGCACTCTGAAGAACAGATTTCCCCTTCCTCCTCCTATTACATAAAGCACACGTTCCTCTGCTTTACAGGCCTATAAAGCTTTCCAAGCTCATATTAATCAGAGATTAATAAACCAAACACCTCTTCCCTTAGGATCACAAGGGATATTTACTTCCCTTTTACAGAAGTATAGTTGAAAATGCTATTCATCTGCTACACTAAACTTCTAAATGCTAACCAGCACATAGTAAAGCCACCAAGCTTAGGTGAGCTGCATTGTCATCTGAGCAACTTGCAACTCCAACTGTTGCATGATCAGTACATTCAGATAAAAAAAAAAGTGCTGATACTTCAGTTATTGGAAAGACTCTCTCAGTCGAGAGAGATTGTTTTCTGAAAATTCTTATTGGCAGTTTGTTGGTAATGCACTGCTGGGACTTATACACTATGAACTCTGCATCTTCTGGGTTGTTTCTACAAGACTTACCACACTGATCCAATTTTGAACCTCCCTTCCAGCTTCAACTGCTCTTTTTTCTCTTAATAGGGCTCAAACCTTCCTTAAAAACAGTTTATGTCTTAAAATTCCAGTGGCAGTAATTCTGTAGGTAGAACATTGGCAAGCAGGCTTTACTCTGACTCCTACCTTTATAAATCAGGACTACACGAAGAGCAGTCTCACTGAATACCAAACAGCAATTATGCAACTACAGCTAGCAATATTCAAGAATCTCTTTAAAAGTCTCAGAAAAAGAATTCCATTTTGCAACACTAATACTGACTGTTTGTTACAACATAGTAAAAATAGGTAAAACACTTATTATGTGGAATGCTTGTGATATTCAACACTGCATTTCTCCTGCTGGCAGCAAGTAGAAACAAGGAAATGCAGTGATGTGGCAGATTATCAGATGTTAGTCTAATCCTTTATTGAAAATAGGATCATTTATACATTAAAATTGTCATAGAATACCTTGAAGACTACTGTAAGCCTGTTGAGAAGACAAATTCACTTAAATGCAAGTTTTTATAATATGATAAACAAAGATTCCAAAACATTGATCTATTACGACAGCTTCATTTTCCATCCTGCCTGAAACAACAACAAAATCTTTCCAAACTCCAGGGTAATTATCTTTCAGCATCTAGAGCCTGTTGTTTTGTGACAGCAAGGTTCTGTATTTCCTAGGAAGCCAGTGGTACTGTGTTGCACAAACATGGCTTACCTTAAAGAAAGACATAAGACATTTTAGAGACAGTGCCTATTAAAAACCTCAAAAGAAGTTTATAAGATCTGAGAAAAGGAATAAAGCTGCAGAAGTGTAACAGAAATTTTATAAATCTGCAGTCAATCCAGAAAAATGTAGGGGGGGGTGTGTCTATTTGAGGTCATTTGACATTACAACAAGAGACTTTACAAGGTTTCCTACTTTTACAAGCTGAAGGCCAAACCTTACCCTCTTCTCAGGTGCAATCCTCTCACTGAATCCACATAATCAGGTACAATACCTTTATGGATTCAAATGGAGGATTAGGTCATGATGACTTTCACGAACAAAGAGCTGAAAGTTGGCAGAATGAGGCTATGCGTATTTCTGAGGAATTATAGCAGGCCATAGAAATTAACTCATGCATAACACCACAAGCGTATCTTGAAACAAAAACAGAACTAGATTTCAATGTACCTTTTTCATTTCATTTTCTAGGTTTTCCTCCTCTTGACCTTCAGACAGTCGCCTTCTTAACTCTGCTATTTCCCGTTCCACGTTTTCTCGATACTGATTCCACTGAGCTCGCTCTTGCTCCAACCTGTGATGATACTGGAGCTCATAGTCACGAACAGTCTCTATAAAACAGTATTTTCAAAACTTACTTTCAATGTAAGTTAAAAAACAGCTTTACGAACTCTATCTCCAACCAGTCAATGACTCATCATAACTCATCAAAACTAGGACAACAGCGAACTCTCCCTTCCTCTCTCTGTAAGTTAAAAAACAGCTTTACGAACTCTATCTCCAACCAGTCAATGACTCATCATAACTCATCAAACTAGGAGAACAGCGAACTCTCCCCTCCTCTCTCTTCCCTTTGACTCTTGCCCCAAAATCCAACTACATAAAGCAAAAGATACAAAGGAACTTTATCTCAATTTGTATCATCACTAGAACACAAACAAACAAGTCCCCAAAACTGTATAACTCCTAATTTCAAACTAAGGTACATGTCTAATCCTATTTAGCAGCACATTTTGTACCTCCAAGCACATCATCCAAACAAACTACCAAAATCCTACTTATTTACTCCAAAATGCAAAGGAACTAGAACTTCTCACATAGCTTTCATTTCTGTATTATTCATATTACCCCTTCAGGTAAGGAGCTGTCTCTGTTTACATACAGACAGCAGCTGGTCCAACTGAGCCTTGATCTGGGTTCACGTATCTATGTAGATCATAAATAAACAGAAATTTGTGCACTCAATACACATGAAGATTTGTCTTCTCTGGGGGAAAAGCATAATCAGGTGATGGGAAAACTGCCTCCAACCAACAGGTTGTAGGCTCAGGATATTGTGATCCTGTTTGTTAATCTTTAAGAAAACAGCCAGTTATGGCAACAGTCTATCCCCAGTTTACACCCTGCATTTTGTTTCTTGCCCGTAATTTGTCTCATAACATCCACAGCTGTGCAACATGCAAACATAACAAAGAATAGCTCAGAACTATTAAGAAGAAAAAAAATTACCTACAACTGATACAGAGCAGCATGTTCAGTCACTAGCCTAGGGAAAAGTCCATGTGATACTACTGGAGGGATGCTTAACTGTCTGACAGCAGAACTATGTTTACACAGAAGAGAGTCACGCTGTCAGCCTAAAGCTGTTTTCAGACTTGTCAAATTACACGCATTATACTTATCTTCACGGAAGGATGAAGCATCACATTCATAGTCCCTCAAAAATGCTTTGCATATATGTGGGAGTTCTCATTGCCATGATTCCTTCTAAATTCTATCCTCATATTAACAGAAAAGAACCACCAAGCTCCTTTTCACAAACTTAGGAGCTACGCTTCATCCATCACTTCTGCAGCCCAGTTTTGCCAAGCCGTGAAAAGTACCTATCCATATTCCGTGCAAGAGCAGGCACAAATCACTAAGCGCATACTAAAGAGGTGTCTGATCTTAGCAGCAGCAGCTTGCCCGGTTGTTACCTTTCATAATAGCTTGTAGCGAAGCTACTTCTTCTTGCCACTGTCTCTTCACCTCATCGATAGCTTCCTGCTTTGTATTCTCAGATACTGTAGCTATAGCTTTGATGTTCTCCATTTCAGCATGAGCTTCCATCAGCTGGGTCCGCAATTGTCCCAGATCATCTTGGGCTGCTTGCAGCACTGCATTTTGTCTTTTCAGGTCCTCTGAAAACAAGTATTATTTACATTTAGCTTGATTAAGAAATTCAATCTGAAGAGTATCCACAGTTGCTATGGCAAAGAACAGTGCTCTAACATGGGGGTGATGGCAGCACTGATATTAAAGCATCTACCCACAACAACTGAACAAACGTTAGCAGGTGTCTTTAGGGAACATTACTTCTTGACTTCACTTACCCTTGCCTTTTACTAAAAAAGTACCTTCTCATGAACGCAGCCACAAAGCAGACACTGTAGATATAACCTATGAATCAATATACCTGATGAAACTGAACTGTGCTTTTAATTAGTTCACTATTATTTAATTCATTCTGGTAACAAATCTGGAAAAAGATAAGAACAGACAGGAAGACAGTTCTTCCCCCATTTCTGGCATCAAATTGGTCCTGAATTTGAATAGAACACTTCATATTTCTTGAACAGAAACACTCTGTGACCACTATGTGGAGCCCACATAAGAAAACTATGCAGCCTAATTTGCTCTTTGCCATGGCTTTGCTAGAACTGAGCGCCTACCGAAAAAAACCTGATACATTCAATGGAATATCCACTACTTCTCTGATTGTTGCAACTATAAACAGAAATTAAACTGATTTCACATTATCCTCCTGAGTTTTTGGTTAATCTGAAGCAAAAATTTCTGGAAGATATACATTATACAATTAATTCTAAGAGTACTGACACAAAATATACTTTTATGCCCACATAGCCTATTTCAATGGCAATCACTTTTAGCAGAAACATCTGGCCAGTATACAACAAACATCAAGCTATCTCCATGTATTTCCTTCAATACCAAAAAGCTTAATCAACCCTGGTGCTCCAGCACTTACCTCAGTATGGAACCCAGAGCTAATCAGGTACTCAAAAGGGCATTAATCCTCATGTTAAAAAAAAAAACAAAACAAAAAGATCCTGTACCATTTGTATAACTAGCTCTCAAACGACAGTATTAAGGATGGGTTGCAACAACCCCAACGTATATTTAAGAAAGGGTCTTTGAGAAGAGGGAGGGGAAAAAAAGCTTGTGGGGGGTAGAAAAGTAATTGCTTGTATATTCTCCTCTGGTGTTCTTTCACTTCAGTACATGTGAAAGTTGGATTATTTTTTTTTTTGCCTTGTCACAACTGATTTTTACTTTCTATTTTCTGACTGTTCTGAAAAGGGAGAATTATTGCTGATCTCACCAGTAGCGTCTTGTATCTTAAATTTCCTTTTATCCAGTTGCTAGAAACACAAAGAAATAGGCCTTCTGTATGATCTGATCTTCATTATGCCTGTTGTACGTCTGCTCTCATAAGCTTATACAAGCAGCTGCAGTCTTAATGCATTATTTTTTGGCTCTGCTTTCATATGTTAAGGACAGGAAAATCATCAGGGTTAGAAATAAATCAATTTGGCTCTCAGAACAACAGCTATCTCTACTCTCCAACTCTTCGAGAAATATTTGAGCTCATATGGTTCAAATTTTCCTATAAAGACTGTTATTGAAATAGATGCCCTTGGCTGGTATTAAAATTTCGGTAATTTTGTCTGCTTACATTCTACCTCAGATGGAAATTTAAGACAAATTAATACTACATAAAAAAAGCTAGCCACATAGTACAAACAGCACACCATCTAGACTATGTCTTTCCACTTACCAGATCATCTGCTGTTCAGAGAGAATGAGCACACCATGACTTCAGAAAGTTAGTATTAAAACTCAGTGGTGGTGTTTCTGCACATACATCAAGTCGCTCTGCTGAATCCTAGCCATGCAGGCAAATCTTTAAATTTAATTCTAAAAATTCATTCTAGGAAGCTAAACAGCCACCTACTGAATTTTATTCTCTGCATGTCTCTTTTGTTATTATATCTACTTAAAAGACTACTGTCACTTTTCCACTTTGGCAAATCAGACACAATGCCTTATCCCACTAACCATGCTGGATATGCAGTTAGCTATCCCAGTAGAAATCCCCCTTAAATCCTAATTATCATAAAAAAAAAAAGCAAGCATGTGCTGTGCATGGGCAAATGGGGAGTAGTAGTTGCCATTACAAAGGTCATTCTTCATACAGGGATTATTTGAAGATGAAGTTTAATAAACTTTAGAGTAATTCCGAGAATTGAGAACTTACCTTCCTTAGCCAAGTATAACTCCTTAAATTTTGCTCTCTTTTGATTAAATTCTTGCTCAAGTTGCTGCTTTGTGCGCAGAAATTCTGCATTGACCTTTTCCAATTCTGCTACCCGCTGTAGAAGAGCAACTGAAAATAAAACAGAAGATAAGGTACGTCACTAACAGATAAGATACTCCATTCTGCAAGTTTGAGGTTTGGGGCTTGTTCTTCTTAAAATATCTTTACTCATTAGCTCAGCTGTTGCCATCAGGACAACTAGTCCGAGTCCTTTAAGCAACAAAGGAAGATAAGTTTTCTTAGACTGTAGCGTCGAATTGTAATTAGACATCTTCACAGCACTAGAGGTGCATGAGGCAGGGAATTCTGTAGAAAACAATCTCCCAAAGAAAACTACAGTTTTCTATATACAATGAAGGAAGCAATGGAAAAAACACAGCACCAGAATTATTTCTATTGGTGCTTCTTTCCAAAACACTGGGAATTTAGTCACGAGGCACAGGAATAGTGTGTGAAGGCTGAGCAACAAAGCACCAAGTTCTCAAAGGCTGAGGTCAAAGAAAACAAAGTGACAGCTGCTCAGTTAATAACTATGGAAGAACAAAGCACAGAAAAACCCGTAAGCTAAGAATTAGGTGCCATTATCTTTCCTGTCTTCAGTTCTGCATGTTCATCAAAAGAAGGTAAACCACAGTATACTCAGAGAAGTTTGCCAGAAGATGACCACAATCTATGGTGAAATAACTGATCATAAGATCAAACTCTTCTCATTCCCAGCAGGTAAAAATACTCAAGGGCGCACATACATCACACTATTTTCCAGTATTTACCACATTAGCAGTTCGTCTGGTGGTACAAGAGAGGGAACAGTAGGATGTCCACAAAGCACCTAAAGATTGTTACAATGCAGTTACTGTTGAAAAAACCATACCGTACCATGGTATGATCCTATCAAGATCCCACACAACTACTGACCCTGGAATATTGATCTTCACGTGCAACATTAACTTCTTTACACCTCAAGAAGTATAGGCTGGTTTAGATGCCAGACAGTTTCATATTGCACACCTCAGAATTCAAATAAGAAACAGAAACAAGAGACAGATGACCTAGAACAAGATCCATCTCCATGTTGCAATGCACTGGGCAAATGATGTTCCTCTACACAATTCTCTATCTGTTCCGCAAAAGCATTTTATGGACATGTTCCAACTCTGTCATGCAAGGCTGAATCACTTCCTTTTAGTTATAGTCTCTGTATAGCACAGACTAGATACATAAAATATTGATCCAACAGAAGCATTTACAAATCATACCCAACACGCTTCCCACCAAAAGCAAGTAGTGAAAACATACTACAAAGGCTACGTGACTTTAGCATCAAACATTTAGACTTACCAACAGCTGGAATTAGATCTAGACCCTACAGTGGTAAAACACTAGATGGTCAATGCCATTGCGATTGGGTGAGTTGTATCTATTTTTAGTACCAGATGACTTAGAGTAAGAGCAGACACAAACAAAAGGACCTTTTAAAAGCACAGCTTTGTTTTATTGATTGCTGGTTATGCAGGCTTATCGTGCTAAAAAATACAGCACTTAATCTATTCAACTCTGTAGATAAAAGTATATGTAGATACAGGACTGAAGAAATTTTAATGTTGCTTTTTTACCGAAACCCTCATTTTGTTTTTAGTTTGTTTTTTTTTTTTTAATCACCTTAAATATCAACACATCAGTTTTTCTGGCCAGTAACCCCTACCTGGATAGCGCAAAGCCAACTGCACAGGAGTATTCTCCAGAAAATGAAAGGAACCTGTAGCAAAGACAACATACTGAGAGCAAAGCTTCAAGTGAGTTAAGAAAGTGGCCGGATCAAAACCAAGAAAGAAACAGCACACATGGAGCCAGGCCCAGGTATCAAAAATGCTTCCCAAGGCTAAAGAGTCGCCTTTGATCTCTTGCTGAAGTCTTCCAAAGGCAAAGGGTTTGCCTACGTTTCCACTCCCCGCTGACTCCTGAGAGAGGGTGATGCTGCCTGCAAAGCTGCTTCCCCCACCCAGGGGAGAGCAGGTCACTGGTCCCGGCACAGCAATGCCCGCTTCACACCTCTGAGGCATGAAAAGCCAGCCTTGTCGCTAAGAAGGTGGTTTTGATCTCACAGTTTCAGCTCTTGAAAGGAAACTGCTAGAGGCACTGAAGCCTAAGTGAGCTGTATGCCGTGGTTAGGGGCAGGTTGCTAAACCCTACGGGTCCAGCCAGGCAGCTCAGCATCTGCAGTTACCGGCCAGCAGGCTGAAGCCACATCCACACATCCAAAACAAAACATGGAGGAATCTGGCCATTGCTCACCTTACAAACACTGTTTTGAAGACCATACAAAAAATTGTTTAATTCTACAAATACTAATTTTGAAAGTTAACAAATCAATAGCAGACATCAGTCAACCACCCCGGCCCCAGAGAAGACTCAATCAACTCCTTGTTTACTTGTTTCCCCTTCCGCCTTTCTTTTGCAGAGAGACAGCAGCACCTGTGCTACCGCTCCCTTCACAAAGCTGTTGTGCAAAGCATCCAAGTTGTGTTTCTTCTGAAGGCGAGAGTTGCTTCTGCTGAGGATGGAAGGATGAAAGGATGCCACAAGAGCAGAAAGTTGAAGTGCTTTAAGCTGGGGGAACAACAGACTCATCCTTTTTAAATCCTCCCGCCCAAACAGAAAGAGGGATGGTAGAGTCACCAAGCAGGAAATGTAATTTAAATATTTACATTTTTACAGTATTCCCCCTCCCCGCAGCCTGGCAGCTACCTGTAAAAAGTACTAAAATAAATAAATAATCAACCCCCACAACAACCTCTGGCAGCTGTCAGGACCAGCTGTAGGCATTCAAAAAAATGAACAGTTTAAAGATCGGACTGCAGGTCGCACATCACTGCAACTCTGTATTAACATCATTCTTTTTGTTCAGATACTAAGTTTGAAGTGGTTTCAGCACCTGTGCTACATATACTGGGCTCAGGACAGACCTCTGCATATCCACACTGCAGTGATACAAAGCACATAAACTTGAGGACCACAAGCTATGCAACACATCAACCCCCTAAAACACATAAAAAGTAAAAGCAAAAGAAGATTTATTTTCCTAAGACCGCATGACAACTACCTCCTTTCTACTAAGTATAAGTGATTAAGTTCACAAAAAAAATTCTTTTCTTCTCTGGGGCGTGATTTGTACGATGGCCATACAGAGACCCCATTTTCCAAAATGAAAGTATGAACCCAAATCCAAACTGCCAGATGCAGGTAACGGCGGGCTACACGGTGCTGGATCAAGTCCACCTGGAAACGCATTGAAGCCAGAGGTGGGAAATGGACGCATTCATAGATTTTCAATTAGGCCTTTGTCATTTATAGCTTACTTCTTGCTCTGAATTTAGGTCCAACTCACCCCAGGTCTGTAACAGAACTGAAAAAAAAAAAAAGTTTTTATCTGCCATCATAGGCTATCAAGTTAAAAATCCCCAACCCAAAACATACATTTTGCAGTGACAGTATTCATTAACTTGCCAGAGTCACTGTCCCTACGCTCCTATTTCCATGCACAGCAACGCAGCTATCAATGTTTAACGACACCAAGGAGGTACCCAGTAAACAAAGCCCGATAGATGGTCAGTTCTGGTGGAGCTACGCCTGACTGAAACAGGATCTTGTGTTATACACAAGATATGAACAGGCACAGAACATGCCGTATTTTGTAAGAGCAGTAGCATGGAAAGTCTAATTCCCTAACTAGGGCCCTAACTCATCAAGAAACAAACAAAAATCCCAAAGACCCAATTTCTTAACTCCTGAAATAGCACTGAGAAGAATTTAAATTAAAATTGATATGCCAAACTGAAAAATCAACAAGCAAACAAGAAGTCCCTTTGGCCAACAATTTATTAGCTGTAAACAGCACTTTTTTCCCCAGAGCATTAGGGCAAATAGACTACTGATAACACAGTTATACACACGCCAATTAAATTACTAGCTTTGTTTCTAACGAGCACCACAGATTTTGCATAGGCACTTCAGGTCAGGCACAGGGATCACCACCTCCCTGTTTAACACTAACATTATAGCAAAGTACAGCCTATGCCATTATGTGGCTTAACCAGGTAGAAGAACTCAAAAGAAGTGCAGCAAAATTCATTTCAGTATGGACTCATCAATTTACAGGAGAACCACCAAACTACCGGAGTACACAAAGAGAAACTCCAGTGGAAGAGATACAACTTTCTCTTAACTCACTCACTGCACAGCAAAATTTCAGTTCAAGGAGTACACAGGAACAGACAGACATTTCTTGTTGACTAGTTACTTGAATGCTGTTCCACAGATCAGCTCCCAAAAGGATTAAATTTTATGTATGACAAAGTTTCCAGTTACACAAGCATGTAGTGACCATTCCAGAATTAAGACAGGCAAAGCCGATTATCAATAAGACTATTTTTGAGGACTGGGTCTATTTATAAAATTAATGCCACAAAGCTTTCTACTTGATATTTAAAGTGTCAAACATGACATCACGAGTTCAGTCCTACATAGCTGAAATCTGAAAAACAGATCAGAAAAAAACCCTATACGTACACTAAACTTCTTGGAGAAAAAAAATAATCACCTCTGTCATACTTCTGTCATTCTCCACCTCTTTCTTTCTTTTCCTGTCACAATTGCCTGAGACAGAAGTAAGGACAAATAAAAATATATGGCTGTCCATTTTTCTTCATGCTTATTTCCTCAGAGTACTAATTTTTGTCTATCATGACATCATATCGGGGCCACAATTATGTTACTATATAAATTTTTACTCTAAGTGTCTGCCACTAGGATGTGTATCTAGACTGGAAAAAGCTTTTCTTTATTTTCTTCAAACAGAATTCCATTAAAAAAAAAAAACAAACAACAAAAACAAAAAAAAAAAAATCAAAACCCACAACCCCCAAAACCCCCACACTCTTAAAATATACTCCAATACAGTTGTTCTGTAACAGGCACCCAGAAGTAAAGGAACAGATTACAGTTTTTTTAATAAGTACATTGAACAGAAACAATTCCTGACTTATGAAACGGAGGTTGCATTATTTTCAAGGAACAAGATTTGCCCTTACATCCAGATATTCAGCAGCGGCAGACCAAACTGAAGAAAGAAAGAAAAAAAAAAAATAATGAACAGAACTATTTGCTTTTCCCAAACTTGTATTTGGAAGCCTCAAGCACTTTATTTACCCAGACAAAAGGCTAAAGCTTACTGGTCAGCATACACTTTTCTAATTTTATTTGGGGACAGACAATTACACCAGATTTGTCACTTGCCACCTTAGTTTTCAG